GTTGCTTGATTATCATCTTTTGTTCAGCTTAAGTTCAAACGACATGACACTAAGACCAAGGCATTCCACATGTTCATATTTTACAAAAGAGTAAAGAAAACGTGTGCGCGTGTGTATGTGCATCTGTGTGCACACAGCTGCTGTACACAAACACACACATGCGCGCGCACACACACACACACACACACACACACATACACACACTCAGAGTAAGCAGCAGCTGTGACCGTCGGTCCTCATTCCTGCGTCTGGTTTCAGTTTTACAGCCTCGCACATTTAAAATAGAAACAAAATCAGACAAATAAAGTTTGTGTTCAGTTTGTGTTCAGTTTGTGTTTAGAGCTGTAAAAACTGAACCTGATGGTGCGTCTCGCCTCTTACCTGCTCAGAGATGTGCATCAGAGGAGGGGGGGTGTCACAGCATGAGCTTACCTGAGCGAGGCCACTGTGGGTCCCTGTTTGGTGGAGGGAAACACATGGTGTAGGTAGTCGCTCAGCAGCTTCTCGTTCACGATACCTGGCAGAGGGACAACTGACTCAGACAGACCAATCGGAGGGCAGGAGTGGTGCGTACGTGCTGAAGTGACTGAGCATTCATACCTGTGGATCTCGGCTTGTCCATGTCTGACGCCAGCCTGTAGTTACGGCGGGTCAGAGCGGTGCCGCCTCCCTTAGAGCTCATGGTGTCTGACTGGAGCCACCTGACCCACACACTGCTGCCAGAGACACACCTGTAAACACCACCACCACCGTCATGTCCAATCACAGCACAGGGCAAGGCAGCTGTGTCACAAACAGCAGCCACATGTTCAGCAGAGCGCCTGGCACCTGACATAAACATCTCCTGCCCTCTCTGAGTCATTACAGTGTACTTTTACTACTTTGCCCCAATCCTACCTGTGTACTTTTACTGCCGAAAGAATTTAATCATGCTGGATTTACTTTAACTGTATGTAACTGATACACTGCGATTACCCTCTCCTTGGTCTAATATTATGTACTTTTATCACCTTGCTGCATACAGCTAATGATAAAGTGTAGTCTCGGGGTAGACTACAATGATGAAGCACAGCTAGCTCGGCTGTTAGCATGCCGCCTGACCCCCGTTAGCTCACCGGAGCACTGAGGCTCGGCAGACCGGTCCGTTATAACCCTGTCGGCGGGACTTTGGGGGCTGAGTGTCGAGGTAATCACTGGACACCTCAGTCGGGCATCGCTCGGCTGTAGGCAGTTACATGTCACACCGCTGGTAGCAGGCTAACAGCTAGCGGCTAATGACAGCGACACTCACCGCCTCCGGCTGCTCGGACGGGCCGCTGCTCCGCTGTAGCCGCCGCTAGCTCTGGTAGTCCGGCTGATAGTTGTGAATTGAGCCGCTGGGTATCGGCAATAAGAACCTAATCTCCACAACAACACCGGAGTCTTATCCGCTGTTAACGCCTCTCACGGTACGGAGGGCAGACTGGGACAAGAAGGGCAAAGACGAAAAAACGCGAAGGCAGAAAAATATGTATGTATGTGTGTGTGTGTGTGTGTGTGTGTGTCGTCGTTAGTTTATGGCTGATCAACACACAATTAAATACAAATACAATTAAAAAGTTAAATTAACGTTTTTAAATATTATTACATATATAATATTATGTATTATGATCTTTAAATATAAATGCTAGCAGCAGTTCACAGATTAATTTAAAACAGTCTTACATGCAGCATCAAACACACTTTAAAATATACTGTGACTCTGTGGTAGGCTGAAAAGTGTGAGACAAGAACATTTAGGAAGACATGAATATGAAAATATAAGAATAATCATTAGTTGTTTAAACTGGTCAGAAATTATAACTGATGGAGCCATTAAACTCTCTCTGAACCTTTCAAATCAAAGCATTGTTTTTGTGCATATGCAGTAATAATGTTCAGAGGGCACACCTGGCTTTACTTAAAGAGACTCCACCTGAGAACCTGTGGACAATAAAAGATCTCGTCTCGTCTTGAGTTCAGTCAGAGGTTTATGTCTCCATCTTGTGGTCCTTCTGTGTCATTACTGACTGCAGTTCACGCAGATGACAGCAGGATTAAATAAACGTTTTCATGACGTAAATGACAGCATGACTTCAGAGAGCCAACGTGCTTCATCTTTGGCTCTCATAACTTAGCCATCGTTCATGGCCGTTCATGGCCACCGTTTAATCAGAAGCAGAATAAAGTGTTCTGATTATTTTCAGCAGCTCTTCTCAGAAGGATAATCCACCTGCTCCTCCAGGTTTCACAAGTCCAGTGAACCTCAGGACTGGAGCCAGCCCAACACAAATATGAATAGGACAGCTATGAAACAGGCCACTTTAATGTGCATGTGATTTATTTAAAATACAGAACACATGTTGAGTTCTATACTTAACTTAAAAAAACACAATTTCTGTTTAATTTAAGTTAATATTATACAATTCAATTTTAATAATGAAGCGCAAAAGTATCTCTAAAATAAAAAAAATATTAAATATGAAATACAATCAAATAAATGATCAGAGAGACACTGCAGACTTGACCCAAAGATCAAGAACATCGTCAAATATGGAGCCTCGTTCCTGCCCCTGGAATATGGCCTCTGATTGGCTGACCTGTTTCAACCCTAACCCTAACCCTGTTTTTATTGGTTACTGAGTAGCCAATGGCAGATTCGCCCGTGGAAGGTTCCATCGTAGGTAGTGGGGAGGGGGGGAATCTATGATTCCTGAAGGTTTGTAAACATATTTGCTCTTCTTTAGTCCAATCTGAGAGATTAAGAATGGTTTTCTAGTCATATGTTAGTACAGTAGAGTTATGTCACCAATGTGTAGCGACAGCGTGAAGCACTTGAACGATATAAGAAAACCAGTGTCCCCTTCCCGGTCGCAGTGAGTTGGGATGTGTGTGTAGTCGACTAGGGGGGCGGTGTCACCTGAAAGTTGATTCCGATCGTTTATTGATCCATCCTCCGGCCAGATCGGCTCTGCTAGCGGGTCTATAGGCTTTTTCCTTCAGCGTGAATCAGCAGCCTGTGGCGGGAAGATGCTCCACGTGAGGGCGGCCGTGTGTCGATCCCGGAGGGGGTAGGTCTGCGCATGTCTCCCGCTCGAGACTCCTTGAGTTCTGCAGCATGTCGTTTAGCTAATTAGCCTCCTCAGGGCCTCCGACTCCGATAACCTGATATCCTGATCGATAACCGATGCTGTGACGGGACGGATCATGCGTGGAGGTCCAGGCTGGCCGTGTGGGGCGGTAATGGTCCAGTGGGTCGCTTGTGACAGGTTTACAGGTTATGTAATGTCACCTGATCGGCAGCTGCTGCCTGAACTGACCGCAAACAAACTTGAACCAAGTACTTTTACTCAAGTACTGTACGTTTTAATACTACTTTCATACTCCATCACATTCAGGGGAATAGAAGGAAGCACAGGTAAACATTGGTAGACATTGTTACCTTTCGCACCTCTGGTGGTGCCATCTGGGAACCACTGCATGAATCCCGGAAGATCTTTAAGAATACATTTTATTACGCCATTTACCTGAAAGGTGTGTCTACCTGAGAGGCTCGGATGAAAACAAACAAGATATCTTACAAACATTTGATAAAGAAGTCAGTGTGTAAACAGGTGGTTCCAGGAGCCACAACCAAAGGGGCCAGTCCAGGCCGGAGGGCGTGGAAAAATACCTAAAGTCAATTCAGTTTTATTTGTAACACAGCAACAGTCATCTCAAGGAGCTTTATAATGTGAGGTGAAGACTCTACAATAACACAGGGAGACAATCAGATGACCCCTATGAGCAAGCACTTGGTGGGAAGGAAAAACTCCCTTTTAACAGGAAGAACCCCTTCAGCCGTGTATAGTGCTGCGCAAATAAAGCAATGAACCAGCAATGAACCATTTCACCAACTGTATTGAAAATCGGTTCATTCATGCAAAGCATCGTTTCAGTGACATCTAGTGGTGAAAAAGGAAACAGCGTAACAATGTTGAACTAATGGTGCTGAGTGTAATGAAGGTCTGTGTGGACGATAAAACACAACTTTGCAAAGATGGATGTCGATTCTGTAAACTCCTGTAATGTAGTAGTTTGAAGAAGGCGTGCCGGGGAAACGGAGGATGTGAGGGATGGTGTGTAATCAGGGCAGGTGTGGTTGTTTCCATGGCATCGAGATTTCAAGGTTTTGATGACAAACAATAATTTTCCACTGTTTTTGTTTCTTTTCTTGTTGAAAATGTCTCCAGCTTTCAAACATGCACATTCACACGGCACTGAGGCGATACAAAGCGTTATCGATGGTTTCGACCAATCATGTGATTTATTCAGGGGACCTCATTGGTCACATGTGATTTTCCACACCAAAGCAGTGGTTCAAGGAAAATGCACCTTGGAAGCTTTTGAGTATTGATGTCATACTGCCGTGGCCTGCAGTGCACGTGTAATGACACGTTCACCTGTACAGTCACTCATTTACAGTAAAAAGCACACGTGGTACCGCGGGCTCTCTTCAGATCACACCGGCCTGTGGGCCGTTAAAACGGGGAGTTTCAGGGATGTCGATGACTCTGGGTTTACAGTCCAATTAAGTAGCAACAGAGCTTTCAAACTAGGAGCGATGAGGATTCTGAATTATGGATGGTTGTGTTGTCCTGTCTGAGTGAAATTATGATATTTGAGCTCCAGGTGAATCTGTAGCCTCGCCTGGGTAACCTGGAGTCTTTACATTAAGGTCAGTTCTGAAGTTCAACCTGACACACGTACCACACAAACGCCACGTGTGTTAATCAAAATCAGAAGAGCTACTTGTTAACGTTAAGCTACACGGGATTACCTGCTCGTTAAGCTCATCCACTGTGTTTCGCGTGATTTTCACTGAACGGGCTCAGATTCGTTTTGCTGTCATCGTTTGGGCTCCAGAGCCACATGGCTGTGTGTGAATGCCCGACATGCCACCAGCCGGCGTGTCGCCGCCTCCTCCAATGCAAACAGCAGCTGGCCGACCTTCTGCTCAGAGTTCAGACGGGTTAATCATAGATGAAGGAGGCGCTGCGGCGATCCGGCTCAGCGGGATCCGGCTGGAATAACCAGGTCGTGAGAAACATCAGCAAACAGCGCGACGCGGCCTCGGTTCATCTTCCTCTCACACACACAGATAAACAACAGACCCAGCAGAGAAACATGTGAGTCTGTAATGTCAGTGATCTGAGACGCTCGGG